TTCCTCCTCTCTACCCAATCTTCCCCCCCACCCAACTCCCTTTTATTAAATTTTTACTACTCAGTTTTTAATGCAGAGTCTAAAAAACAATTAAAAACCTAACAAAACCTAGCAAAATAATTAAGTCCTTCTGCATACAAAGTACACACTACACGCTTGTCGTACAGTCTTACAATTTCATACAGCATAGTCATGTCAAAAAATAGTTTAACAAAAGTCAAAAAATACAAGATAGACCCAAAGAACTTCAAGAAGAGGCAAGACTTTACCTAATTCCTTCTCACTTTCAAAAGCTGTCATGGGTCGAATATCCTCGTTTCCTTCATGTTCTTCAAAGACCATTTCGGGCTCATTTATATACTTAGCAGTAGGAGAAGATGCCATTTTCTTTCCCTTATGAGAGCCAACGTGTGTTCGAACTTCGTTCCTTCTGCTTGGAAATATCTCGATATATCTATGTCAAAGCAAAAGTAAACAGGCACAAATGATGTTAAGTGACTTTATAATAAATTCATTTAAAACAAACATGTATATATTATATTTCCAACAGCTTAGGAAACACAGGTGCCCAAAGATAACAGGTAGGGGAAAAACAATGGATATAGGTATTAGCCCACGAAAAAGTACTAAACAGAGTACTTTCAAACTTCAAACTTTTTGCTCCAAGATAACACTTTTTTTCATATACATTTTAACAACATTTTCTACTCTGTTTTGCTTCATGAGGACAACTATGTTAAGGTTAACCATGTATACAGAAAATAAGTAATCAGGTAAGAAGGTTTTGTGGGGTGCTTGTTTGTTTTACAGTTGGCTCACAATCTCTTGCAGTCTCGCAATTCAATCCTGTGAAAATAAATCACATTTCTATAAGATATTAAAAGTCACAGTATAGAAGAGCTAATGTCCCCAAACCTTTGCCAAGGCGCTAATGAGAATTCAAGAACTAAATGTCCATTGTGACTTGCTATCATAGTGGCAGTAAGACTATCTATTAAATGCAAGCTTCTTAAACTAGTTTTTTCACTGCTTTTCCAAATCAGGTTATTAAATGTGAGTTGTAAAAATCATTTGTATTTATAGACCTATAAAGATTAGTACCACTCCTTTAAAAAGATCTTTGAACCAATTCTATATGTAGATACTGAAATATGCTAGCTTTGGAATAGCTATTTGGTTTTTTTTTTTAACTTCAATGTAGCTGATTAAAAAGGCCAGAAAGCAGCAACATGGTGATTTAAAATTTGACATTTTTGACTATACCTCCAAAATTAAAGTTAAAACACAAATTACCCACTTACCATTATATGCATCCTGATGTGAGATGAGCCTAAGATGCTGTATAAGACAACTGACTCAATTTCTTCAAAAGTCAATTGCATTTAAAAGGAGGAAGGAATAAAAAAATAAAGGAGAAGGGAATTTACTCTGGTTTAAGAGTATTAGAGACATAACAGTCAAATGTAACATGTGGACCTTGTCTAGATTCTGGTTCAAACAAACCAACTGTAAAGATACTTTCGGTATCATTGGGAAAACGGGATTATGAATTGTTATTAGGTAATAAATCACTGCTAATTTTGTTAGATGTGATATCATGATGGTATAAGAATATGTCTCTTTTTAAAGATGCATACTGAAAAAAGATGGAAGCAAATATAACAAATGTTAATGATCTGTTAAATCTCAGTGATGGGCATTTGATGGCTCATCATACTATTCTACTTTTCTACGTTGGGGTAATTTTACTATAGAGCACTCATCAAAGCGACCTGAGGTGTGATACTAATGCATCATTAGTATGTGCTTCACTCACCGGTTCCCAATTTCTTCCCTGTGTTTCAACAGAGCTTGGCTGGCCATTTCTGGCTCTTCGAACTGCACATAGGCTTCCCCTGTTTTTCTTCTCCCTCTGTAGTCCATCACAAAAGTAATGTCGACTATATTCAGTCCTAGGACACCAAAAAATGATTACAAGTTAGTGCTGCTAACAAGAGCTTTTTTTATCCTTAGAATTAACACAATCATTCAGGTTCTAATGAAATTTTTATGCTGTTTTGCCAGTCCCACAATATTTGAGTATGTGACTACATGCTTAATGGGGAGAATATTATTATGCAGTCAGAAGTTACTTACACCTACATACTTGTATTTCCAGAATGTTTAGGGTCCAAGCAGCCCATCTAAAACACACAACTCTCTCCACTACTTTTTCTTTTTTGCCATTAATTACATATTAGGAAAAAAACAGAGATTTTTTTTTTTTTTTTTTTTTGAGACATGATCTCACTCTGTCACTCTGGCTAG